AGTTGTTACACGGAACTGTACCGTTCGACAAGCACCAAGACCCAACACACTGAGTGCCAGGAGTCGTGATGGGTGACGGGTATTTGTGCACCGGCTGGACAATACCGTGCTAAGGATACACGCACACAAAACCGACCAGATTTTCTGTATATATCTGCATATATTTGATCACAAGCCTGAGAGAAGCTAGACGCCATCACTGTACATTGCTGAATAAACATTGTGAGAAAGCATGTGAAAATAGAAAAGGTGAATTCCTCACAGCGACAAATAACGGATCAACGAGGCAGGTTGTATTTAAAATTCACAAACAAACTGGAATAGGGCGGGGAGAGGGGAAAAGCAATTACTAAAGGTGAATACTTTACCTAGTTAGGACAATCAAAGTGGCTCCTTAAAACAAGATACTGTATGACGCGAAATAGTTGAGTACACGAACAAATGAACTGGTGAGAAATAATAACAACTAAAACAAATCCATAAACATAAGCTGCTCTCATTGTGGGACACAGCTACATTTCGAACCAGCATCACAAGGTTTCAATCTACTCCATGGGAATTGGGTGGGCTACAGTAAAGGAAATGGATCTCGAGGTGCAAAATCGTAACCACACGTGAAAAAATGGAAATTAAAGTAAAAGCACATCATACTCAAAACTGTAGCATACTTATTCAGCTCACCTGTATCACTGATACCAATACCCAATGGTCACTGAGAGTGTTTTGAGATAATTCCATCCGTTTACGATGGGCTTGAGATTCACGTTCCATGGGAATTTCGAACGGATCTCGATAGGACAAACAAGCGGCCACAATAAGCGCTGGTTCCAGACAGGAGAATACTGATCCTAAGAGAAGTAATTTACCACATTGGGGATCTAATGGAAGAGTGGCCAACTGTCTACCGAGCGCATTCAGCGGCTCTTCATCGCCCACCAAAATGTGATCCACAGTTTGGTGGTGTTCCGAGCGTAACAAGCCAGCCTGTGCATCCTTAGTCGCCTGAGCGGCAAACTCTTTTAAACGACGTCTCATTCGTTCCTTATCCTCGCCCGAGAAACGAGATCGAACTTCTCCCTCAGGGGTTATTTCGAGTCGACTTTGGCGCAAAGTAAGAGTTTGAAGTTCGTAGAGAAAGTGGAGTGATCGTTTGATGGCGTTCTGCGAAGGAGGATCCATACAATCTTCTAGAAAAGAAGTGACTCGGCCCAGCTTGAGTAGCTAAAGATTGATGATAAGACAATGCAATGAAAAAGGTGAAACTCGAAAAGAAATGGGTGATGGAATTGAAACAAATTCCTGTATTGAAAAAATAATAATAACGGAAATGTATCATACTATTTTTAAACGTAAAAATGGTGTCAGTAAACTTAGAGCTATGTAGTTTGATCTCAGTCCGTTAACCGCCTTTCGATCACGATATATGCAGACCGCTATTTACTATCGGGTAGCCTAAAACAATCAACTATAGGCCATTTTGTAAATTGTTTTTCAAAAGAGGGTCGATTCAGCACACTGCAGTATCACATAAAAACACCATCATCATCGTATAGAACAATATAGTTAGACGAACTACGATCACCAACTCAATACGTAAATAAAGCAACCACGACTGTAAGACAGACAAAGAGCGGATTTGTTTTGAAGTGAAAAGAAAGTTAAATACAACACACAGAGTACCGAATCTAAGGGTGCACACACACACACACACACACACATCTGAATCAAGAACACTGGGCTGATAGGAAATGACAACATGAAGGTTAATGCTGTTGATTTCTTCTACATCCCTCAGTCTACCAGTGACCGTTTACAGAGTCTGAGACCCAAGGCTTGAAGACAACAGACAAGCAATCCGGTTTGACTCAGCGCTAATTTGTCAGCGTAGTACTTGCGCCTCATCGCCAAGTCATCTATTGACCTCATCGTGATTCTCTGCATACGGGAGCGGTATTAGGAAATAAAACAGGATGACAAACTAATGGCTGACATGGTCAACACATATCCGAACTGCCAAAACTTATTGTCCTCTGTGCATACAGTCATAAAACCAGCCGTTCCTAAAAGCACCATCCGCGAATCTCTGACCGACAGCAATCTTTCCCACAGATTACGTTGTTTCTCCATTTTTCTTCCTGGTTAAGAACGGAAAGTTTTCCCTTTCTTCTCCAAGTCCCCTAAACTTTTGTACAAATACAGTGAAACTGATACAACTATTTGAGTTGAGCTTTTGTTTCCGAGGAATTTGATGTTCTTGATAGTATATCTCGTGGCGAAGGGCACCGTTTGCATGTCTTATCACGAAAGTTGTGTCAAATCTTCCCACGCATATCCACATAAAAATAAGGAAATACTTCAAATTGCTCATATTTTAGTTAATCGTACGACAACTGTAACTTCCCTTAAGGAAAAAACTCTTGCCTTACAATTTTTTTGTATTGCGGCACCAATTATATTTCTGTTTTGATAAACGCCATACATTTACCGTTTCAGTTTCAGTTTGCACAACCATTAACCATCATAAATAATCAGTGAACCTGGACGGAAAGAAAAAACGGCTTGCTACCGGGCGCGTTTCGGAGTCATGGAATCAGTTGCGAAACGAAAGATTAATATCCCCAAAAGGGAATCGACTAGCGTTCAAATACCGAACACCGATTCGTTTACACATGATGAACGTTCACCAACCAAACCATCATTGCTAATATTTTTTGCACGGTGATTCAATCTTCAACACATCAGGAGGTGAACCCCATAGACAGCTAACAATCAGACTTTTGCATTGTTTCCTCCCTAAGTTTTCGTTCATAACAAGTTAGGGGGATCCAAAATGAAACCACAGTTAATGAGCATCGCACGCTTTGGTCGAGCGGTGAGTTAGTTTCAGTTTAGTTTTTACAACCATTAACCATGCACTTTCGTGCGCCCGTTTTGGTTGCTGTCTTTTGGTGCCCCATTTGGATGAAAGAGCAGAATGAAGATTGAAATCTCGAAGCAAATTCTAACGGAAGATGGGGAATACATATAGAGTGGTGTTAGGAAAATAACGAGTGGATGCACGAGCGCCACTGTTTGCGACACCCAGCCATAT